CAGAGATGCTCCGGTTCTGATGACCGCGCATCAGAACTGCTCCAGTTCTGATGGCCTTCGGGCAGAACTACGTAGGGGTCTTCTGATGGCTTCTGAACCGTTACAGCAATAAATGCCCAACGTTTATATCTTTTAATGCAGTGTTAAATGGGCAGTTCATGGACAATTAAATGCCCAACGGACTGGTCATTGATGTCCAACGTTCAGGTCCATTAATTCACTATTTTCATACAACAAATCCTCCTATATAATGGCTGGCAGGTGGTTTGCAACAACACACGTTCTTAGACGTTCTTACACAAATCCATACACGTTTTAGCTCTAAAAACACACTGCTAGCATTCCGAAAATTTCCCCTGTGTTCATACTGTGTTCTCGTTCGCTGGAACTTTTGTTTGTGTGCTCAAACATTAGTTCGTAGTCATCGTATCCTGGGAAACGATTGTTGCAACGCTCCTAGCACCGTGGGAGGCAACAAATACGTTTTAAGGACATCGTGCGTAGCACGAGCTTTGACTAAATCTGCTTCATCTCCTTTCTTGTTTTTCTCTAGTCATTTTATTTAATTAATTTATTTTAATTAAGTTTCTTTATTTTCCGAAACACACCCAACAGAAACCAAGCTTTATTTTTATTCGTTCATTCGCATTAGTTTAACTTTCATACCAATCATATCTCGCACGACGCATTTTTATTTATTTATTTTTAATCGTTGAATTTAATTAATTCTTGATTCCCCTTTGTCTGTCCCTGTGGAGACGATGCTCGTACTTACACCACTATATTACGATCTATTTTAAGTGCGAGAAAACTCACATCATCTACCTATTATTAAGACGTCAAGAAGAGCAATGGGCCTAGGCCAATGATCCAATAAAGTCCATGGGGAAACCCTACCCATTATTGAGAGAGCCTCATAATTAGAGGTTCAAAGGGAAAACACAACTCTTGACTGGATCGGGTAATACGATTTTAATGATCTCTATATCTTGATATGTTCAAGTAAGGTATGACATGATACCTTCGATAGAGATCACCTATCTTGGTGGAAGAAGGCCGCTTTTATGAGAATTTATGGTACGAGGTATATATACTCTCCGGTACACGATAAACTCTCAAAACCACTAACTGAACCAGGAGGTGTTCAAGTCCAAAACAAACACAAACGTGAGAACCAAATATGCACTCGGGGCTCTCTGTGTTATTCATTGTCAAGGTTTACGCAATGGCTGACGGTTCAAACCAAATTGTTACCGATTGTCCAGTAACTCTGATGGATATACACCAAGGCAGGTTCAAAATTTCACGACTACCTAATCCTATGCGGAGTTCCCATCTTCCTCTGTCAAACCTCGTTTGTTTGTGTCTTTAAGCCAATTTCTCATTCATGTGGGGGTTGTTGGAAAAATGGTTTTACAAATTAATATTATGATCATTTTGGAGTTAAAATATGCAATGCACTTACGTCTCTATTTTAATAGGATTAAGTCCTAACATATTAGTCTCCATGAGATGAATGTTTCAATATATTATTTTTAGAAGACCATTTTGGAAATGAATGAGAAATTGTCCCTCAATAATGGATTAAAGATAATACTTATATCTTTTATTCCCTATTTCAGATAAGGCTTGGTTGAAAGACACAACTTTAGAAGAAGAGTCACAACCTTTCTTTTCTAAAGGTGCCTTTTGGGTGTAAAGTATCCCGGCCAGAGCTCTATATACAATTCACTATCTTCTTCCTTCACTCTAAAAAAATTTGTTGCATTTTTTAGTTCGCCGGTGTCCTTTGGGAACGTAGAAACCGTTCTACCCTGGGAGGCGATTGCTACATGCGTTGTGGGCAAATTCGTCTTAAGGAGAAAATGATTCGTTGGGCTCGGTTTCATCCAAGTATTTCTATTTACTTTCTATTTATTTAAGGGAGAATTTGACTTTGCACTCCATGTTTTAGGTGATATTTGAGTTTGCACCCTATTTTCAAAATGATTAATGTATGCACCCCAATCCCCTATAAAACCATTTGAATTTGCACCCCATTCCTTCACAATTTTTGGATTGATGGGGTGCATACATTAATTATTTTAAAAATAGGGTGCAAAGTCAAATATCACCTAAAACATGGGGTGCAAAGTCAAATTCTCCCTTTATTTAATTAATACATGCAGATTATATGAATGTTTTATATAACAGTTGCTATTTCATTAGTTACAATGCTTAAAAGTTAAAACAAAAAATAAAATATAAAAACTTCTAATGAATCATCTGAAATCATATTTTTCCTTGTCACCCAGGTTTTATTGATGCATGTCCTGATCATATTTTTCTACAATAAAAAGACCAGTTTAGAACCTGAAAATACGGTAACTATCCTGTTTCTTAGATTAGACCAAACTTTTAAAAAATCCCCAATTTCTCATTTCACCCGGTAACTATCCGGTTAAAATAGCAAATACGAAGTACTATATGTATGTGTGTTTTCTCGCACTTAAGATAGTTGTAGAAAAGTGGTGTAAAGTACGAGTATCGTCTCCACAGGGACGGACAAAAGGTAAATAAAGATTAACTAAACTTTAGCGATTAAAAGAAATAAATAAAATAAAAGTGCAATTGTGCGAGATTGGTTGATTGATTAAACTAAAACTAATGCTAATGAGCGAATAAAAAGATTTGGTTTTCCTTAATTAACGACTAAGGGAACAGGAATTGATTCCGGGGTTAACCAGATTTCTGGCAGAACAGGCCTAATCACATGAATTTAATTTAATTGAGCCTAGCTAATCATTACTAAGTTTTTACCGCTCTCGCGGCGTAAAGTACAATAATTTAAGGGTCCAGGCTGATCTCTCATGCGACAAGATCCTAAATTATTGCCAAAACGAGCGAGCTTACGGCCCCTTAATCGCTACTAATCTCTTAGCAAACGATTAAGTGTGTGTGAGTGTGTCCTAGAACAAATTAGATCTCTCTTAATTTATTCTATATGCAATTGTAATTCTAGTGGCGATTCTAGGTTACAAAAGATATCAATTAAATTATTCAAACACAAATTAAATGGCATTCATGCAATTAAACCGAAAAGAATCTAGCCATACATCATGATTAACCCCTTCATCAATCCCAAATTCCTAATTAAAACTACTCACAATTCATAATTGAAGAATCAATAGAATTGGAATAAAAAGAATTAATTGTCATTAATTAAAAAGGTGGAACTTACAAAGAATCCCAAAAGATTGATGAACAAGGCTGAAAAGCCCTCTAAAATTCGTGCTAGGCACTCTCTCTAAGCTCCCCCCTTGAAAACGGGGGTTTACAGGTTGTTTAAATAGAAAAATCGGGTGAAATTTGAGCTGAATTAGGATTTTCAGAGCCAGACACGATGCCAGGCACGATCGTGCCTTCGATCGTGCCTCCGGAGCAAAAATGCGCATTTTGGGCAGACACGATCGTGCCTCCCTCCAGGCACGATCATGCCTGGCTGGCAGTAGCTCCGCGGTGCTTTTCTCTTCAGGCACGATCGTGCCTGACTTTGAGGGCACGATCGTTCCTACTTAACTTCCGAATGTGACAAAACTTCCTTCATGAAAGTTGTAGATAATGAAGTCCTCTATCCACCTCAATTTGCCGAATGTGATTTGAATCATCCAATCAAGCGATATGATCAAAACGGTGGAAGGTGTATTTCTGAAATCGCAGCAGGGATCATCTGACTTCATCGTCTGTTTTCACCTTCTTCCTCTCAGATTCTCGGAATGATGTATTCATATGATTTGTAGCTCTTGAAGTTGGATTTCATGTGGACTTTGAATCGTGTTCTTTGGATGCTTCTACAAAGAGATATGCTTGAACGATTGACAGAAGGTCATCCTGATCGTCGTTTTCAAGCTTCATTCATCTTCTTTTGACCCCGTAGCCAATCCTAGAGCTCTTTTTCCTTCAAATCTTCATCGTGAATCTTCCGGTGACCTCCAAAGCTATCAAATCATTCTCAAATGCTTCTCAAATCATCCCGATTGTTCCTCAAGTGCCGGTGCCGGGCTCAAATTCCCTGATTTTGACTACAAACAACACAAAACTCGAACCAACGCCCGGTAAACATAACTTGAGCTAAAATTAAGACTTGTAACACCTTAAAACTAGGAAAATCATCAAAAGCCGATCTCAACACGCATCAAATACGTGTCAAAATACGGACTTATCAGACTATTAGCGCCATATCATTTGTCTCATGCTTATCGATTTTTTCTACTCCGTATTTTTTATTTCTCACGTTGGTCTCTTCGTAGAAGACTCTTCCAACAGACCTATATGGCTATATCTCTTCTTCCTCTATAAACGGTAACTATCCGGTTTACCAGTTAGCGCATAAGCCTTCCGGTATTTCTTCATTTCACCCGGTAACTATCCGGTTTACCAGTAACCCCTTATGAATCATATTTTTGTAAATCATCTTTATTTTGGTCATATTTATGTAATTATTTCTGTTATTTATCACTTGGAGGAGGGGTAATAGTATTTCATTGCTAAAAAAAATCATTTTTTAAATTAATAAGACACTGTTTGGGATAGTGTCTTCACCCTTGCCTTCTGATACTTTTTGTTTTACATGAATACACAAACTGGCAAGAGGAACTCTTTGAAGTTGAAGATCAATTCTAGGATAAAATGGATTATGTGAGTGTGCGACCTCAACTATTGGTTGGTCTATATAGAAATAAGCCTACTAAATTTCAATTATCACCATCCAAATGTGTTTTTGTTCCAATTAGCGCATAAGCCTTTTTTTTTCTTTTGATCGAACATAAGCCTTGTGTGAGGCATGGGCTCGTTAGCTTGAATATAATTTTTTCTATGATCACATACAAATCATGTTGTACATGAGTAGGTTCCTAAAGTCCAATATTAAATGTAAAACGATCATAGAAATTGTTTATTTTTCTTTAGCATTTTAAAGGCAAAGATATAACCCATAAATGGAGTCATTTCCTCTCCATTGGCTCGACAATACTACCAGAGTGAAAGAAGAGATCAAACGAAGAAAAGAAACTATACTTTTTTTAGTAACAAGTTAATCTTTTTGTGTATCTTAAAATATGATTTTTTTTTTAAAAAAAAAAAAATAGTTTCAGATAAACACACATTCTAAGGTCAGGAGACGACCCAAAAAGCCGTTGATCATATCATAGGCGGGCAAACCTGACAAGATTCACGCTTCTCAATGGAACAACAAGGTTCACACATATGTACATCTTACCCTCTTAAATCCATTGCACAAGGCACTCAAGAATGAGATGAGAACTAACCAGCATCCAATTGTTGATATCTTGGAGGTCATTGATGCCAAAATAAGGAGGCTCTGGTACACGATTTACATAGTACAACTTCAAGACCGTGCCATCTTCATATTTTAATAAGGAGATTTCTCGCTGCTAAGAATGATAAATGAGTACGAAATCTCTCTTATCTACAGAAAATCCATACTCAATGATTTTACTCTCATTCTTAGATATAACATCATCGGGAGATTCATACTCAGACAAGTTAGATTCCATGCAGCAAATGATCTCCAGATGGGGCTAAAAACAACATGAATAGAGTTAATCTGAGCAAACCATCACGGAACGAGGCAGGACTTGATGTTTATCCTCTGTACTACCTTTTTGACAAGGCTGAGCTCGGAATAGTGTACGTGAATCATCAGAACAAAAAGCGTCTCCTTGTACTTAAAGAGATAAATAAGTGTTTTGAAGGAGCGCTGAAGATCATAAAGAGAAGCTAGAAGAACTAAAGAAGAATATCATCCTCGTTGAAGCCAGTGACGAAGAGGCGAAGGAACATGTAAGAATCACAAAAGTGCTCAAGACTATCCTTGTTGTGATTGCTATTTTATTAGTTTAAAATGCCTAAAACAAAAAATATATATAAAAAACTTCTAATAAAATCATTTGAAATCATATTTTTCTTGTCACCCAGGTTTTATCGATTCATGTCCCGACCATATTTTCTGAGGTGCTCAGATTTTTTAGATTTCACCTATTTTTTAAATTTTTCCTTAACGGGTCTGATTTTCTATTCGATTTCCTAAACATAGAAAAGAATTTAAAAGAAATCATCCAGAAGATGGACTCAATCATTCAATAATGAGGTAGTATATTGTTTTAATTATTACCTCTATCTAGTTGGACATTGTCAATTTTATGTTGAATGTGAAATAAGCAATGTAAAAATTGTATTCTTGAAGTTTTTTTTTGTAGATGAGAGAGAGAGTTAAGTTGAACCATGCTCATAAAGTTTGTTGGGATAAATAAATAAAAAATTAAATATTGTTGGCATATAAATAAAAAAAGGGAAATATTTTGGGAAGTGATTTGTCAAAATATGCTTTTTGTTTTCTTTTTCTGCAGACAACCCTAACTGGAACGGGGCGGGCAAAACCTCCCAAAAAAGCATACCAAGATCAGGATTGGGGTTTGGGAAGGTGAGGATTATAAAAGCCGTCAAATTCAAATTCGCGGAACCACAAGAGCTCAATCTCCACAAGGAATTCTAATAATCCGATTCGCAGCAGCTATGACTGAGGTATGTTCCTAAACCTGGTTCTTCTGTCAAACTCCCCGGTGATAAGCAATGAAGAACCTCGATTTCTACTTGCGCGATCTAATTTTATGAACTTATGCATTATTACGGAGTATAGTTAATCGTCTACTGTATGTATGATATGGATTTGCATTTTGCAGTACTGGGTTAGTCAGGGCAACAAATGGTGTGATTTCTGCAAAATCTTTCTCTCAAACAATCCTTCAAGCATCAGGAATCATGAGCTTGGTCAACGTCACAAAGACAATGTTGCACAAAGGCTCAATACGATGAGAAAAGAGAAAACTGCAAAAGAGAAAGAACAGAAGGAAGCAACTCGTGCTCTTGAACAAATTGAAGCAGTAAGTTTTCATTTAAGTTATTGATAGGATGTAAAGTCATACATATTAGCACTTAATTGCACATTACACAGCAGCTTAACCAGAAACGCCATATTAGCTGGCCGGACTTTGAAAAGTTTATACTGAGGGTACCAAAGCTTCATATTTAACATATATGTTTATAGTTTATAAATTTGTTTGGGTGTGTGTATCCACCACGGAAAGTTTTGACTTTTGAGGGTAGGGATGCCCCCTCCAGCCCCTCCCTCAATCCACCACAGCCACTGCCATTAGCCCATTACATGGTATAACTTTCATATCTTAGTTAGAGCCTGTTTGGTAGCCTGATCCGCTTATTCTTCTTATCAACAGAATCATTGGAATAAGCACAAGAAGTATCTTTCGGCTTTTATTTGGCTATAAGCTCAGTACGTAATTGCATTACCTGTTTAGGTTCGTTGTTTCAGACTTTCAGTTAGCTGTTTGACCATTTTTTTCTCTAGCTATTTGTACATAAATGTTTCTCTAAAGCAATTTGTACAGAAATGTTTCATGAAAGCAATTAGTGTTGTTTCCTTTTAGAAGGTACTAGTATAAAATGAGAGTTTCAAATACGCTTTCAATCCAAAAAGCTTAAGCAATAAGCTCAGTTCGCTTTCAACATCACTTTTTGGGGTTGCTAAGCTCATGTTATAGGGCTCTTCCTAACATTGAAATTAGCGGTGTTAACAAGGTCAAACGGCTAATTTTAAATGAAAACTGAAACTTTTACTTATTTTTTAGACTGAAACAGACTTTACCAAATGCTTTTCCTTTCAGATGTCTATCACAAAATACTGCACATTCAGTTATTTCAGATTTTAGCAAACTGATATTATTGATTTTTCAGTTCATGTGTGGATTGTTTTACTATATAGCAAGAACGATTGTATGCTTTTGAAAATGGTCTTGGTGATGGCAGATTTATATTATCAAACTTGAATTTGGCAGAAACAAAATAAGCTCTTGGATTTGTTTCTTATCAAACTTGAATTTGGCAGAAACAAAATAAGCTCTTGGATTCGTTACTTCTTATCTATAAACTTATATGAAGTATACAAATTAAACATGGGCTGCTGTAAATCATCAACTTTAGGAGATTAATTAACTGCAATCTGCATTCCGGTGCACCTATCAAAGGCTTACACTTATATGTTTTGTCACTATCAAATTTGTTGCCAGAAAGCCCAACGCAGCTATCAAAAGGATGTAGCTCAAGCCCGAGCAGCTGCTAAAGATCCTACTGTTTCTGAAGGTGAGGAAAGCTTGATCTATGCATGCATCATGTAATTAAAAAGGGATGTTATTGGTTCAAGATCTGAAAGATATGTTAACTATATGCCTATATCAATGTAAGACTAAAAAACATGGATTTCATATCTTTTTCTTTTCAAGTATTTTTATACAACAACATCCAAGTATTTTTCAAGTATTTTTAGGTAAAAATTTCAATTAATGTTCTTTACAGTTTATACACTATATTTGTATTTTTCAAGTGCTGGATTGATATCACCTAATGTTCTAGACTACCAGTTCATTAGCTATATCAGTACAAGTCTAAAAACTCGTGAATTTCAAATCTTTTTATTTTCGAGTTTTAATGTTAACTTTGAATGAAACTTTCTGGACAAATTATACATTATATTTAACAAAGTGTGCGTTAGTAAATTAAAAAAAAAAAGTATTGGATTTCAATTTTTCAGGTCCTAAATTGATAGTCCGTAGTTTTTTTTCTCTTTCAGATTGTAAATTGACAAGTAAAAATATCTTATTGGGTTCTGATTGATTAAACTCCAAATTAGTAAAACATTCTTTACATCCACTTCCTTGTCAATTAGACTGCAGCTTAAGGTGAGATTGTTTTTCATAACTCTAGATTGGGGGGAGCATGACAGCTCATCAGGCTACTATTACAACAAGACCAATGGTTGTTACTATGACCCGAAATCTGGCTTCTACTACACAGATGCTTTAGGCCGGTGGGCCACACAGGAAGAGGCATTAGCAGCAACCCAAGCTGTTACTACATCAGAATCTGCTCCAAGGAAACCTGTTTTAAAACAGAACCATGCTGTCTCAGAAACACTTCAAAGTGGTCCCCCTCCGGGGCGTGTTGTTTCGACTCCACTTAATCCAACCAGATCTGTAAAAGGTGCTGCTCCCTCTTCAATATCGGTTGACAACAAAAGAAAAAGGGAAACAACTCAGAAGAAGCCAACAAAAGCTATGTCGGAAGCGGAATCAGCTGCACTCAAAGCAAGGGAAGCTGCTAGGAAGAGAGTTGAGGACAGGGAAAAATCTTTGCTTGGCCTTTATAAGCATTAGCCTCTACTTGTTAAAACACCTAGAGGGGGATGAATTCTTGCTTTATGTATTGCGCTTTGTACCGTAAGATGTTGCTAAGCAATATCTCCATATCGATTTGTAACTTGCCATGGGTTTAGAGAGATATATGTTTCTCATTTTCTTCAGAATAATTTCATTCAATGTGACGGGAAATATTGAGTTTGTTTCACCTCTTTCGTTGTTGCAAATTACAATTAGATGTTTACATATTTCGACTATATGATGATAGAGTTTCTAAATCAAAATGTGGGCCTTCAATGTCATTATTTATTTGTCTAGCTTGACCACTTTTGTTTGTATATTTCGTGAATGGGCATGAAATAAGTTTTTCTCGTTTATCATTTTCTTAAAAGGGTGTTGATGTGACTGACTTTTAATAAAGGCCTTTATAGTAAAACATCATATCTCTTTTTTTTATAATATCATACCAAATTTTCATTAAATTGTATACCTCAACCAATCAAAGTTTTTCCTAAAATATTAATGAAATTAACTTAAAGATAAAAAAAAAGTGATTGAAGTTCCTGTAATTATAACAACATAATCACTATAGTGTAATGAATATAACTAGGCATTACAAGTATTAAAAAAAGTCATCGAGTATAAGATCACATTCTGTCCAATATCTTAATTCTAATCAAACTTAAATCATATTTCCACCCCAATTGCAACCATCCCCATGTAGGGATGGACTCGATCAGCGATTGAGGACCGGATCGGAACCGAACTTGCCACTGTGCGGCGCTGAACCGGTCTGGTTTTTCTGTCCCAGACTTGGACCAGGTACCCAACCAGGTGGGGGCGGTCTCGGTCTAAGGTAGGGGTTTTGGGGACCGATCGGGCGGTCCCGGTCCTGGTTTCGATCCCAATAGACATTTTTTAAAAATTCTAGGGTGGGGTGAGACTGGGTGGAGAACTAGTCGTGGGGGGGGGGAGGGGGGGGCTTAGCGAAGCTGGTAACATTTTGACTATGGAACAAGGTTGAGCGCTTCATCTCTTGAGACGCTCATTTTGCTTCCATCATTGGTTGAAGGTCTTCCGTAGAACACAAAAAGTGAATATAGCACCAGACTGCCATTTCACGGAGAAAATGACAACCGACGAGGGAAGCGAATCTGACAATTACCTCATGTATTTAAATTTTCAAGTTTAAACTATTTTCAATTGTAATTTGTAAATGTGTTAATAATACTCTAAGTCAATGTAGTGTTTCTAATAAATGTACATTTCTTTTTGGAATTTGTAAATTCAATTAAAAAAAATTGAAACCGGGTCTGAATTGGCCTGAGACCAGCCGGGTAGACCGGAACGGAATTGGGTACCGTACTACTCCGGGTCGGTTCCGGTCTCACGTTTTGGCAACCGGGACCGGACCCACCCCTAGCCCCATGGTTGTAGACTATGGTCTATGCGTAGTACCGTAGTATAAACCTCATTGACTCCATCCCAAACAGCCAAACTCCCACTCGTATTTCCTACAATACATTCATGGCCTCATGGGTATTGTGATTGTGGGTTTTTACACATCCCATCCCCATTCCACCACCAAAAGGCCAAAATCCTGTGAAACATCCACATCCCATCATACATAACTTTTTGTGCTATTCTCATTTGTCCATTGTGTAGGAAAAAAACATATTTGTATGATGTTAGTTGCTTAAATGACCACAAAATGCAACATTAACAACATTTAAATGGAGAGAACTAAAATTCTTTCTCCGAAGTTATCCTAAAAATCTTGTTATAAAATCGTGAACATTGTTGATCTCATTTTCATCTATATACACTACTTTTATTCTTGCATACACGACCTTCAAAATAACAACTATACATACATGTGAATAACAAAAACGAATGAATGGTGATTGGTTGTTTCATCCGCGGCTAGGCACGGTCTGATACTCTGATCCCTTAGGTCTGGTGCCGACACAATTGGGCAAACTAATAGAGTTCATGGCAGATCATAATAGTAAAGTAAGCAACAAGCGAATAGACTTATATCTGCTCTTGATGCACGGCGATCAGTCTATGCAGGCATGCAGCACGGTTCAATCCGAACACCATGACAAATGGACCCCTCAACCAATCAATAGGGTCACTAATCTCCTAGAAATTGCTAGAAACTTGACCAAGACACAATTGAAATATGTTCTTTCCCGTTTCACGTTTCCCTATATTTTTCACGTTTACATGCAACATTGACCGGAGACCGTCATTTAGACTAGACCCGAGGTGTACTTCACCATCAGATAATGGAGGTTAAAGCACCAATCATTGTGGCAAGCTTCAGGTTTAAAATGTCATACTAGCTAATGGATGAATTCAATCCAGCTACAAAATTCTCAAACACAACTGATTTTATTATCAGTCTTAAGTTCAACCAACCAGGAAAAAAACAAGACAGTTCAGTTTCTGAGGTATAACTCAAACAGTTACAACCAGACAATAAGAGTTAGCTCACAGGTTGCTGCTGGTGGTTCCCGTATCCAGGTGAAGTATACATGCTTTGATCCCTATTATGTGACATGTAATATCCATATCCACCATTATTTTGCCTTCCCTGATACGCCCCATTCCATTGACCATTATTCTCACTTCTCCCGTGCTAAAACAGAGGAAAAGAAGCCATCAGTGTACTTTTTTACAGTTCTAATCTAATGATGCATATGTTTTTAGTTAATCCGCAGCTCCAAAATTAGATTAACTTCGTAAAAACTAATAATTTACTTTGTAGACTCAAGTTTGAGGTAGAGTTATTTAGGTTAAAGTTCGGATGGAGGTTTTCTGAATAGTTTTGGAGATATTGCTTTGGAAAGCATGATTATATGTAGATAAAGAAAATATTTCTAAAAAAACAAGTAAAAGGTTTAATCAAATGTTATATGGTCAACACCTATTACCATATTTCTTGAGTTTCTATAAACTCTTGATGTACTTTTCCAATATTTACAAAAAATGCCACCGCGTCTAGATGTTGGAAAAGTGCATCATATAATGTTTATTCGAAAAGTGCATTATATAAGGGTTATTGTGCATCAAATTGATAGTTTGGATGACTAAGATTAATTCTTATTTTACATGTTAAACTCCTTTTTATTCGAACCATCCTTTATACATATAAAGATACGAACTTAGCCTCCAAAACCTACTGCTCATATTCCTCATCCATCTGACCCTAAGCAAGTTCAAGAGGTATAAAAATCCTTCAAATGCCTCACAAGCTGTAAATCACTCCAATTTGGTAGAGTTTTTTTTTTTTTTTTAAATTCATTCCTTTTTTTACCAAAACCGCTCTACAATATTATTGAATGTGCATGTAGGTTAATTTATATCTTTAATTGCAATGAAAAATATACAAAATACAATTTTTTATAATACAAATGATTCATTTTTTTAATGTAAAATACCTGCTTGTTTGAAGGAGTGCGCCCCCATGAAAGGCGAACTGTCTGCTTCCCAATGACCGATCCATTCAATTTTTCCAATGCATCCTCTGCTGCACTCCTATATATAGTTATTTACAAAACAAGCAGAGTTATGCACGGGTTTTAAACATGAAACATTCGCCTTCATAAAAAATGGTAACTTGCATTAGACATTGGCATATGTGTTATGGGACTACCTAATTGCAAATTGTACAAAACCACACCCTTTCCCGGTTGGAATTTTAACAGAGACCACATCCCCAAACTGAATAAAGGACTGCCTTAGTTCTTCATCACTCACGTCTGAATCAAGTCCACCCACAAATATCTAGACAGGACAGAAAAAACATTAGTACAAGATAAACTAACTTCTAAACAACTCGCCATGCCCGTCCAGGCTCTCACCGTTGTGTTAGAAGAATCATTATCAAATTGGGAGCCTGAAGTAAGAGTACCATTAGAAGCAAATCCACCTCCTACACAAACACTTTAGTCATGAAACTGAATTTTCAACATAAAAATTAGATTCAAGTTACTAAAAACAACATATAAAAACAAGTATTATGCACAAGATTCCGAGAGGAATGGGATTTTGGGGTTTGGCCAAGCGAACTGTTGAGTATCCTAAAGCTCAAGGTATAGGCTGTATGAGTAGCCAAAGGCCTTTGGATGCATGTTGGTTGGTTATTTTATAATGATCCGAGGTTTTGAATTATTGAAACAAATCACTCTTGAAATTGACTTGTCTTTAGTGGGATTGACTGATTGTTTAAGTTCAGCGTGATACCCCATCAATAAGACTTGACATTCCATCATAAACGACCAACCGATAGACTTGATCTAATATGTAAGTGTAAAGTAAACCTCACCTCTTCAGAATCATTTCCGCGTGTGTTAGGTGTAACTCAGTTAAAAACTATACAACATGCTTCAGAAAGGAGCAACAAAAATATAGAGCACAAGAGTGTGTACTAACCTTGTGCAGATTGCTGCTGTTGCATAGACGGTTTCTTAGGAGTTGCAACTCCCAAACGCATGGGTCTGCTTGAGCAGTACTCACCATTCATTTCAGTCATGGCCCGCGACCTTTCATTTTCATCACCAAACCTGACAAAGCCATAGCCTTTTGAGCGCCCTGTATTTGAATCAACAACTACTTTTGCACCTTTGATGGATGAATATCTATTGGCAAAGGTTTCATGCAACACAGTGTCAGTGACATCAGCAGCCAAATCTCCAACAAAAATGGATAAATCAGAATTCGATTCGGGGGGTGTTCTCTTATCACCGCTGCTAAATGAAGCCCAATTTAACCGAAAGGGCTGTTCTGCATTTGGCATCATTGCACCGCTATAGCTCTGCAAGACTTTCTCTGCAGCAGCATGTAAACTAAACTCAACAAATCCATATCTCTCTGACTGACCAGTCAGCTTATTGCGAATAATCTTAACAGAAAGAACCTGCACAGTAAGAAACCAAAGACCCATAAATTTTGTTAAGAATCTGAGTATCTGACATCGGAGACATACTAAAGCTTTACACAGGGTTTACATTTGATAATTCATTGGATTCAGTCTTTTGGCACAGTTTTGTCTATGTGCGTTGTTGCATTTTCTCTCGTTTCATAACCAAACAAATTCTTTCAGTTGATGAATTTCCTTTTTGGAATAAGAATACATGATACTATTAGTTATCAAAATTTGCAGCTTCTGAACAATCAGAACCAGTTTTTTTCAAGTCATTAATAAATGAAAACAGTTGAGTACTTGTGTATTTTAATAATGAATATTTCTGGGCACAAGTTACATAAAGTTTGTAACTTTTGAATGTTTACAACATATATTCTAAAAAAATGTAAAAGGAACCTTTGAACATAAATTCACAACCGATGTGTTGAAGGTTTTGAAATTACATCTTATTTCATTAATTTTCCCCACTGCCCATAATTGTGCAGCTTCAAATTACAGTTATTGTCTAATGACAACCAGCAAGCAAGACATCTAGGAGAGGTGGGGGTAGTTTCAGTGTTGACTATGGGAAAAAGTGCGTTTTTGTAATAAGGAATTAGGTAGGTTAGGGATTCGCAGATTCAGTGACACAACTAGGATTGTAAAAAGAATAAAAATAAGAAACGATGACAAATATATTACTCCATACTAAAGTAAACAATAAGGACAAATATGTGACGTGCTTAATGCAAAGTGCCCATATATTATAGGTACAGGCGTGCAGCGACTGTAATGGTATAAAAAATAACCTTATGTGTAATATAAGCGTTTATATACATAGGGAATGCTTAACTACTAAGATTGATTCTTCTTCTGATTCATTCAGCTTCTACCCATTGCAGATCTCTTCTACGTTCTTCTATGCAAGGGTGTTCACATTAACACCCAAGAATTTGAGAAAAAAAAATATAAATACCTTAAATTAGTGTAGTAATTTATTTGTGTTTATTTATATAAAATTTCATACTTCTTATACAATTATGTTTAGTGTGAAGTAATTTTTAAACACTCAGAACTTAAATGCTAAATCCACTACTGCTTGTAAGTGCTCCATGAAGTAGCAGATTAAATTTTAATAATCAGTTCCAACAAACATATACGAAGTATTAGTTGAAATGAAAACTCAACCTTGAGAGAAATAATAACTACTCTTGCTCACTGATTTAAAAAAATGAAAGGATGAGATTCATACTTGTGTAATTAAGTTGTAAGCACCATGCACTAGTAGTGGTAACACTGCATTGAAGTGGAATCCTATATACACGCAGAAATTCACTAGTGATCTAATCCATAAGTTCTTAGTTTTTTTTTTGAAGTAATAACGTAGATTTATTCTTATTTTTTCAACTAAGCCATTCTTGTACTAGAACAGGACAACAAGCATGAACCATTAACTCTAGTTTTCACTTTAAATTAAGATCTGAATTTCTTTCTGTAAAACAGTGCATTAGTAAGATCTTACATAAGAAGTACATTATTATACGTCATGTAACTGTATATCATAGAAATAAAAGTTCCAACTTTACTGGAAACAGTATATCCAGATCCAACTAAAACCGAGCTAGCATACCTCTCCGGCGGGAGCGAAGCAGGAATGGAGATACCCTTCGTCCATCCATTGCTGAAGATCCCCAATCCAGATCGTCCGGTTCTCTTCACCGGCGCCGGCGCCCTGCACCAGCGGCGGAGATTGCTTCTGCAGGTGCTGCGGCGGCGGCAGCTGCGGGTGGCCCTGGGGGTAGTAAGGCACGTAGCCCTGCGGGTGGCCGTACATAACCATGGCGGCCGGCGGCGGGTATTGCATCGCCATCCACTGCTGCTGATACTGCTGCTGCATCGCCATCCATTGCTGGTGCTGAATCTGCTGCTGCTGACTCATTTCTCCGCCGTTACTCATCTTTTCAAAATCCCACTCTTCCCCCCTTCTCCGTCGTCAAGAATATCTCCACCGCCGGCCGGAGGGAGAGAGAGCAGCTGGTCTGGCGGCAAACAAAAAAAAGAGAAAGAGCAAATTGAAACAGAGTCTGCTAAAGAAGGCAGAGCCGGATCTAGGGTATGGATCGCTGTAACGATACCGTTCCTGGACCGTCGATTCAACGCGAGCCGTTTAATCTTGCCCGTCGATTCAGGCTGGTGGGGCCGGGCTGAACGCGGCGGGAGTTGTGGGTCCTACTCTAGTTCATCACTCCTTCCTCCGGGATATATATACAGATAATTTTCTTTTTCCACAAAGATAAACAATGCTGCAATTATTGGATGTGTTTTGATCTCAGCCGCCGTAGATCTTTAAAGTAGATCCGTATGGACGGTGGAGAAGAGGGGTTGGGGGTTGGGTGGGTGGGGGGTGGGGGTGGGGTAGTGAGCAGATATCACACGCCAACATGTTTCCGGGTATAAACAGGCCAGGCTGGTCACCCCATTATTGGCATCGTCCATCGGTCAACGTTGGATGTCGTTCTGTGCCGTGTTTGGCCTCCCATTTATGGTAAAATAACTTCCTTACAGTTACAAGTGGCCAGTCCAATTGTTCAGTAATTCAGTCTAATCGGATAAGTGATAAAACCAATAATTAACTAGTATCACTTACACCGCCTTCCCAAAATAGAATATGAAGCTACCGGACCTAATTCTAGTGGTAGATAAGGAGTGTCACACATGGTTAATTTTGAATTTGAATTCTGACAATTGCGATGAAAGATTACTATACTCCAAAATATATATAATCTCCACAAGTATCTTGGTACTATGCTTACTGGCAACTGTGATGAGGGTTCAATAATTTATCACTTAAACCGCCTTCCGAAAAAAGAATATGAAGTCGGTGAATGTAACTCAACTATCAGATAGAGAGTGTTATAAGGGATAAGTTTCAGGCTCTAATTCTCACAATTGCGATGAAGTCTGGGCCAGAGTGCACTTGCAAACTGCACAAACGGGTCTCTACTGTGTAAAAATGTATAGGGTCTCTGTAAGAGCATGAGTCAGAATCTCACTCGCTATCTACCAGTTTTTTTATTAAATTTCAAATTACGTTCTCTCATTTAACTGTCCGTCAGATGCTCAGGACCATTAGAGATGGGGGCATCATCTTCTTTTTTTAAGGAATATGAAGTTGTAGGTCCTTGTTTAAGTACTCCGTAATTTATACGTATTTTGACTTATGTATACATGTATATTTGGTTAATCTCTCGGACAGTAAATCAGTTAATGTTTGAGGAGAACCGAAGGAATTAATGGCTGTAATTGGGAGATTGAATACCAACCTTTTCAGAAAAGAAAAAGCATAAAAACAATAATAAAAATAAAAATGATTATAATGATGAAAAATTAAAACGAAAAGGTAAGATAATGGAAGAATATTGCAATGGCCTATAGGCATTCATCATCATCATCATCTGCAGCGTCTCATTCACGGTCTTCTTCTAACCTTGCATGCTGGGCATTCCTGTTCTTTGCAGCTTTTTTCGTCTTTAAGGTACATATATATGTATGTGCATCTTTAGCGAAAATCGGGGAAAAGAATGGAATATGTTTTCTATGCGTAGAATAGTATTGACCAATTCTATGCCACTTTATGTGTTTCTTGCCATATTTGTAATTGATTGAAGAAAGCGTGCTACTTTGCAGCATGAATTTAGCGGTACATTTAATGAAATAAGGTACTATAAATAGTTGCATACATGGATCAAAAGTGCATGCATATAAATGCATTTTAAATCCAATCGTGGAGTTACTTTATCATCATATCATGACATAGATGAATCTAGATATCATTAACATTTAGATCACATCCCTAGTGTGGTATGGTCTCTTTAGTCTAATCAACCTGGTATAAAATGATCTTATTTGTTTCATGTGCATTTTATAACCTTAATCTTGAGAAATCTCAACTTTTATTGCCCGTTTTGATGTGAATAGTGAGCTATTATGTTTATATTTGGTTTGATTTCATTTAGTCTGGAACTGAAATCAGTCTAATTAAGCACATTTGTAGGTTGCCACTTCACTTTTTTAAATGCCCAAATACGATAGTATTATGTTTCAACGTCTATTTGTGAAATATTTGAGTAGTAAAACAATTGTGACCCCAATAAAATTTACATTATTGATTATTAGTTTTTTGGGTTTTGATAACAATATTAATTCAAACGTGGATTAAATCGATTTCAAAAATTTTTGGGACTTTGGGATCCCAATAAGAATGATTCTACCTATTTTGCCATATAAAATAACCACGTTGTTATCCAAATGTTCTGGTTGTTGTATGCTTTTATCCAAGGTGTCATATAAAATAACCACGTTGTTATCCCCATGTTGTGGTTGTTGTATGCTTTTATCCAAGGCGTGTGAATTAAAAGTAGGAACTTAGTTAATGATGATGATTTTGTATGTTTGAATTTTGGATAGGTGGATATTCTGATTGTCCAGAAAATATCGAGAATTCGACATAGTACGGAACGGATAAATCAAATAGTAGTTCATGAACCCAAATCACCCGATTCGCCATTCAAGTAAAGTACTTTTAGTCCTCTTACTTTTATACTCTCGAGGGATTCAAAAACAAGTTCCACCTTTCCTTTTCCGGCATTTTCAAAATTAAGTTCCACTTTCAAATCTTTCCTTATTTGGCAAATTATCTACATCAAAACAGTTTCAAACAGTGTCAAACAGTGCCAAACAGTGTCCAAACAGTGCCAAACAGTGAAATCCACAGTAAAGTCAAATTTCTTTTCTTAATATGTGTGAAGTCAAATGTGGAACTTGTTTTTGAATCAGAGGGAGTATTAGGGAAAATTACAGAATGTATTTGTGGTTGGGCTTGTTTTCAGATAGGGTCATGTGTTTCATTTTTCACTAAAATAGTTCATGTGTTTGAATTCCGTTATCACAAGAGGGTCACGCCGTTAAAAACGTCTGAAAAACACCTTTAAAAGTAACTCCGATTTTCAAAAGTGCTCGGAAAATTAAGAGAAAAATACCGAAAAGTGCGCCTCGTCAAGATGACCTCCAAACCACCTTCGCCTTGGGATTTTTCAGATATGTTTGAATTATTTTTTAAAAATGATTTCGTTAATATCACTTTTTCGGTGGACTTTCCGGTGACAAAGGTGGCTGAAAACAAAAAAGAAAGATGGCCTAGCGGTCGTCTTATTGAGGCGCACCTTCCGGTATTTTTCTTTTAATTTTTTAGAAATTGACCTAAATAAGAGTAAAAACGTTTTGAAATTCTAAAATAAGAGTATCATGTTTTTTATTCCCTAAATAGGAGTAATCTGCCAAGTGTGGAAAAAAATGTCATGTTTAAAGCCTTGTAATGCCCAAACTTGGCAGAAATTTACTCCTATTTAGGGAATAAAAAACATGATACTCCAATTTTGGAATTTCAAAACGTTTTTACTGCTATTTAGAGAATTTTCTCTTAATTTTTCAGACACTTTTGAAAATCGGTGTTACTTTTAACGGTCTTTTTCAGAAATTTTTAACGGCGTGACCCTCTTGTGATACCGGAATTCAAACACATTTACCATTTTGATAAAAAATGAAACACATGACACTATCTGTAAATAGGCTCAACCACAAGTACTCTTTCTGCACTTTTCCCTTTATATTAATAGTGACTAGTGTTAAATTTTAATGCGTAGTACAAACTATTATATCCTCGCTGGTTGCAATACCTTATATAAGGGCGCGATTCAGTAAGACAAACAATATTAAAATTTAAGGTGACAACAACGGTACTCTTCTACAAAAAATGGGGTACCGTATCTACCATTCATTTGGTTGGACCACACCACTTTATTATTTTTAATTTAGATTTAAATAATTCAACTGCTACATTTTCATTGGTCTATGTGGACAAAGGTATGGTACCTTATGGGTACCATAGAATCTACCAAAATTTAATACTCATCGTGGTAGACTGGTAGCTATGAATTTTATAAATAGATATGTATCTTAATCTTAATTAACTGTTTGATAAATAACGTAAATAGTTAGCCAACTTGGTTATTCACTTAGGGTTTGTTTGGAAAATGGCTTATCAGCCAACTTTTAGCTTGTTTGACTAATAACAGCTGGTTGACCAGATGAAGAAGCCAAAAATGTTGTTTGGTAATTGGCTTGTCCATTCGACTTATCCATGTGAACAAGCTGAAAAATGAAAACCCTTGCTATGCAGCGTTTTGATCTTAGCTGTTTGAATTTTTACATTTGTATCCCCCATTTTACCTTCTCCGTTATATTCTTCCAGCCATCTGTCATCCTTGTTCGCCAACAACTACAAAGACACACGTACTTGTCTTCATTCTTGAATTTTCTTTTTCTGGTTTTTCCATTATTAGTTGGATTTTTTCAGTTTATTTGACTACTTTAATAATACTCAACAAATTTTTAATGCTTAGTGGAGCATTATTTAGTTTAGCATTCTTGGGAAAGGATATGTTCATTTAGATTTATTTTACTTTTATTTTAATGAATTTATTTTTTTAACATTTTCAAATTAAATATTGTTTTTATTAAATAATAATTATAGTTTTAACATTATCACTAGTGGCATTACTCAAGTATTATATATTTCATATATATATTCACGTTGATGTGAGTTTTCTCGCACTTAAAAAGATTGTAATATAGTGGTGTAACTACGAGTATCGTCTCCACAGGGACGGACAAAAGGGAATTAAGAATTAACTAAATTCAGCGATTAAAAAGAAAATAAAATAAATGGGTCGTGCGAGATTGATTGGTTGGAAAATTAAACTAATGCGAATAAAACGATTAAACTAGGGGGTTCTTTCTAATTAATGACGAAGGGAACAGGGATCGATTCCGGGGTAACCAGATTTCTGGCAGATCAGGCCTAATTACATGAAATTAATTTAATTGAGCCTAGCTAATCATTACTAAGTTCTTACCGCTCTCGCGGCGTAGAGTACAATAATTTAGGGGACCAGGGTGATCTCTCATGCGACAGGATCCCAAATTATTGCCAAGACGAGCGAGCTTACTGCCCCTTAGTCGCTACTAATCTCTTAGCGAACGATTAAGTGTGTGTGAATGTGTCCTAGAACAAATTAGAGCTCTCTTAATTTATTCTACATGCAATTGTAATTCTAGTCGCGATTCTAGGTTACAAAAGATATCAATTAAATTATTCAAACACAAACTAAACGGAATTCATGCAATTAAACCGAAAAGAATCTAGCCAAACATCATGATTAACCCCTTCATCAAACCCAAATCCCTAATTAAAACTACTCACAATTCATAATTGAAGAATCAATAGAATTGGAATAAAAAGAATTAATTGTCATTAATTAAAAAGGTGGAACTTACAAAGAATCCCAAAAGATTGATGAACAAGGCTGAAAAGCCCTTTAAAATTCGTGCTAGGCACTCTCTCTAAGCCCCCCCCTTGAAAACGGGGGTTTACAGGCTGTTTAAATAGAAAAATCGGGTGAAATTTGAGCTGAATTAGGATTTTCGGAGCCAGACACGATGCCAGCACGATCGTGCCTTCGATCGTGCCTCCGGAGCAAAAACGCGCATTTTGGGCAGGCACGATCGTGCCTCCCTCCAGGCACGATCGTGCGTGGCAGGCAGTAACTTCGCGGTGCTTTTCTCTTCAGGCACGATCGTGTCTGACTTTGAGGGCACGATCGTGCCTACTTAACTTCCGAATTTGACAAAACTTCCTTCATGAAAGTTGTAGATAATGAAGTCCTCTATCCACCCCAATTTTCCGAATGTTATTTGAATCATCCAATCAAGAGATATGATCAAAACGGTGGAAGGTGTCTTTCTGAAATCGCAGCAGAGATCATCTGACTTCATCGTCTGTTTTCACCTTCTTCCTTTCAGATTCTCTCAAAGGTGTATTCATATGATTTGTAGCCCTTGAAGTTGGCTTTCTTATGCAACTTGAATCGTGTCCATTGGTTGTTCCTACAAAGAGATAAGCTTGAACGATTAACAGAAGGTCATTCTGATCGTCGTTTTCAAGCTTCATTCATCTTCTTTTGATTCCGAAGCCAATCCTAGAGCTCTTTTTCCTTCAAATCTTCATCGTGAATCTTCCGGTGACCTCCAAAGCTATCAAATCATTCTCAAATGCTTCTCAAGTCATCCCGATTGTTCCTCAGTTGCCGGTGTCGGGCTCAAATTCCCTGATTTTGACTACAAACAACACAAAACTCGAACCAACGCCCGGTAAACATAACTTGAGCTAAAATTGAGACTTGTAACCCCTTAAAACTAGGAAAATCATCAAAAGCCGATCTCAACACGCATCAAATACGTGTCAAAATATGAACTTATCACGCGTCCTTATACGTCTTTTTACACTCAAACAGTTGTTTTATAACAGCTAATTTTACCAAACACTTACTCACAACAAGCTAACATAATCAGCCAATAAAAACAGCTAACATAACCAGCTGTTATCAAACAGCTAACACAACCATCTAACATCTAAAGCTAACAGCCGATTGCCAAACAAGGCCTTAATGTATGATGTATTGAAGGCTTATTAACCCCATACAATTCATACTCTATATAGGAATGACAACGGGGAGGTTCGGGGCCAGGTATACCATTACCGGTACCCACCCCGGCCAGGGTACCCCGGCCACCCGTTATTTGATTTATAATCCCTGTATCCGTTCTGTTCCCCGTCAGGTAACTTTTTACCGGAACCGTACCCAGTTAGAATGGGGAACGGTTTTCCTTGCGAGTACGTAACCACATTATTTAAAGATAATGTTTTTTTTAAAAAATTATATCACCAACCAACAATAACTTAATTATCCATTGATCAAGATTTTTTAATAAACACCACAAATCAAATCAAATCTTATCACAACAATGAAGTTAAAATACAATTAAAAAGTAATTACGGAGTATAACAATAGCACTATTACACATCTACACAAAGAAAAACAAAACAACACTTCGAAACTTTTATACTCTTAAAGCATTTACATAGAAAATTATGGCAACTACACAAAGTAATAAAAACTAAAGTGAAAGGGAAACTAAATTAATCTTTTATATAGAAAAATTTGAGTAACTACTCAAACCAATCTTTCTCGTACAAGTGATATTTCGTATATTTTACAAAATATATCGTATATACCTAATATATGAAGTATAATCTATTAAAATATATGAATCGGGTATTCCTCGCTGGCTGGCTCCGTACCCGTTAACTAGTCAACACAGGTTTTCCTCATTTTGACTTGTTCAGTTCAATGCGGGTATCCATAGGTTCAGTTTAATTAAATTGGTATCCCTAATTCTGTGATACATATGATAATTACTCCCTTCGTCCCCCTAACTTTGTCCCGTTTTACCTTTTTCGTTCATCCCATTAAGTTTGTCTCATACCATATTTGGTAATATTTGTGTGGTTACAATTTATTCTTACTTTATTCACACATTATCAACTCAATACCAACCACACAATTCCACTTTTTTCTTAAAAGTTGTGTCATACTCCTTTGTCTCAAACATAGTGGGACGGAGGTAATAGCTAATAACATAGGATTGATTTATGTATGATGTTTTGAGCCTTTGAGGTCTTCATGCTTCAAATCTTAAGCATGGAACGCCTCTCAAGTCTCAACATTAAAACATGACCGATCTATGATTTTCAAATAACGCACGTAATACGTTAGTACTCCCTCCGGTTTTTAATAAACTTCACACTTTCCTTTTTGAGACGGTCTAAAATAAACTTCACACTTCCTTATTTCCTTTTTTGGCAAAGAAATCTATATCAAAACAGTGCCAAACAGTGGCTCAACAGTGCCAAACAGTGTCTCTACAGTGCCAAACAGTGTCAAACAGTGCCTTAACAGTGTACTCTACAGTAAAGTCAAATTTCTTTCCTTATTTTGTGTGAAGTCAAACTGTGAAGATTAAAAAAAACCGGAGGTAGTATTACTTTTAAGCATTTCCGTGCCCTTTTTGTTGAAAGAATTGTTGTAGATCAATATCACTCGAATTTCCTTTTGTACAATATCATAAATATGTAGTATTGAAATAAATAATTACGACGATCCTGTATCGTACCATGTCGAACCAAAACATTGAAAAGTCGAAAAATTAGTACAACGACATTGACACCCTCAATTCGATTGATAATTTAAGTAATACACGGGATAATTTCACACCACACCTAACACCTTAGTTATAGAAAGAAATATGTGAGGTTTCTTGTAATTGCGAGATTAAGAATTTTTTGATAAGAATACATGGACTAAATCAGTTGTATATGCTGAAAATTATGTGCATGGTATTCACAAGTCTTGAATTGTAACACTTTAATTTGACTGAGGCAGGTTCGGAAATGGAACATTCCAAAAAGAGTTCGTATTATCGTGGGGAGATGAGCGTTGCAAGATATATGAAAATGGAGAACTACTTACACTGGAACTCGACAGATCTTCTGGATCGGGCTTTGAGTCTAAAAAGGAATTCATCTTTTGCAAGATTGATATGCAAATTAAGCTCGTCCCCGGAGACTCCGCCGGCACCGTCACCACTTATTATGTACGATATATATCACTAAATTACTCTCATCTTTACTAATTGTACATTTTCACTCCATCTTTATGCTCAAATTAGTAATTGGCTACTAATAAATACAAAGTATCGATGACTTATATACCAAGTATTAATCAAATAAAATATCAAACACCAAGAGAATTGAAAGAGTTGTCACTTTGCATGTTGGTAATGTGAATATGTGATATTGACATAGAAGATACATGTTTTACATCCGGTCTAAACTGATCTATTTTGATCCGATTTGGGCTGAAGTAAGTTCAACTTAAAATACCTTAATAGTAGTTTTAGCAACAAAATCTCTAAGAAAGTATTTGACCCCATTATTATTTCTCATGCCCTAGTAGAAATCTGTGAGAAGTAGTATCATATGAATGACTAAAAGTATATAGACTTATCTTAAACAAATCTAAGATTATCAAATAAGATCTAAAATTTCGAAGGGTGGAAGAAAGTACTAAATAGAGCTGTATCGAATGATAATGTTTCGTGTTCTAATTTCCATTTCTAACTAAATACAAATTATTGTTTCGTTATTAGTTCAATTGGGATACTAAATATCTCAATTACATAACGTAAAGTTCATGCAATCATGCCTAATACGGAGTAATTGTTTAAAAATCAATTTTTATTTTTAAGCCACGAGCAATATCCCATCTCAATAGTTCTCAATATTATGGCCATGGTGTAAGAAATCCAATCACAATAATGTAAACTTTTACCGTTGATTTGATGATAATTTTGCTGCATTTTCAATAGATTGAGTTGGGGCAAAAGCTAGTAAAACCAGTGCAAAAGTAGATGAGTAATTTATGCGTTCTTTTTGCTTCCGAAATTGGAACAAACTTTAACAGTTGTTACAGCTTTTTTAAACAACATATTATGAAACATAATTCAAAATTTATTCCGAAACTAATCATTTATCAGGTCATTAAATGTCGAATGAAACTATGTTAGGGAATAATTCGCAAATAGATGACCATAATAATCTAAATGCAGTTAACATCAGATGGTGATCACCACGATGAGATAGATTTTGAATTTCTGGGAAACTCATCTGGCAATCCCTACACGCTTCACACAAATGTGTTTAGTCAAGGAAGAGGTGATAGAGAGGTGCAGTTCTTCCTGTGGTTCGACCCGACTGCAGACTTCCACACATATACTATTCTTTGGAATCCCAAAGCTATCGTGTGAGTATTAACTTTTGAAACGCCGGGTCGAAAACTAGTGAAAACGGGTTTAGAAAAGGATTAACTTTTCAAATGGAATTTGGATTACAGGTTCTACGTGGATGGAACACCGATAAGAGAGTTCAGAAATGCGGAGGCAATCGGAGTTCCTTTCCCGAAGGATCAACCGATGAGGCTATACTCAAGTATATGGAACGCTGATTCCTGGGCCACACAGGGTGGACGTGTGAAGACGAACTGGACTCTCGCCCCCTTCGTGGCCTCTTACAGAAACTTCAGCTCCCAAGGCTGTGTTTGGTCACGGTTAAGCAGATCCACGTCTTGCCCCAGTGACAATTCTTGGATGACAAAGGAGCTGGACAGGTGGAGCCGTGCAAGGATGAGGACTATGCAGAGAAGGCATATGGTTTATAATTACTGCAATGATAAGTGGAGGTTTCGCAGAGGACCTGGCCGAGAATGCAGATTTAGGTAGTGCAACAACAAAGCAAAATTACCTCCAGACAGGAGTAATGTATTTCCATTTTGCATATATAGGATCAAATTTTACTTGCAAATTTGTGAAAACTAAGTAGGAAAACTGTTGAAGTAGCAATACTCCATGACTTTCTTGCATGTACTAGTAGTATATACTCCCTATTTTAACCTGTTTATTTATTTATGTGATCATTTAATGTGTGCTTTTTGGTATCAATTGGTAATTTGAATTCAATATCTGTTACAAGAAGTTTATATTAGAAACTCACTTGGCTGTTGACTCAACAGTTTCATTAGGTTATTCAACAACAGCATCCAAGCCTTAGTCCCCAAAAAATTGTTTTGAGGTCATTAGGTCAATTCACATTAATCAATATGTGAAAACATATGAAATCTGAACTAAAAAGAGTAAGCTTTTACTTAAAACTGTAATTCATCTTAAAGGAGGCAGATCCAGAGAGGAGCCCAATCCCTAATGGGAACAATTGTACATTCCAACTATCATGAACTTAATGTGGTCAATTCTTAAAAGGAAAAAAACACTTTAAAGCCATAAAGGAAAACACTAAATTACAATGTAATTAGTCCCTAGAAACAAAATCATGACTCCATCCGTAGTGATATTAACCTCGATGTTTAACCAAATCATTAAGGGTAAGCAAAATCGATGGATTTGGTGGGGAGGTGGGATGGAGGCAATACACACCTTTACTAAAACATAGCCCACACCATTCCCGGCTTCCCAGTTAGCTTCTGCTAACCAAATAATAAATAAATAGCAAGTTAAGAGACAAGAAAAATGTACAAAATTAGACCTCATAATCCGATTGTAGGAAGGTCTCGTATGGTGTTCCCTTAAGTGTCTTCTCAACATCACCCCAATTCTCTACTTGTGATGATAATGCCCCCTTGTGTATCTTGACCTGTCGGCTTCTTAACTCTTGATGAGGTACCCTCAGAAAATCTTGAACGTCCAACAGTTTCTGTAAAGACAAAATGGTGGGTGGGTAGGCAGGGAGGGGGGTAAAGGTGTCAATTAACTACATTTCTAGTAAGGATACAGCGACCATGGAGAAAAACGGACACTTTGAAGTTTCTTACAGTTCGGTTTCTTATGATGTCCTCATAGTAAAGGATGACATGCCTAGTACTCTTGAAATGCTCCAAAGCTTTTGTGACCATATCGTCCACTTGCTTCAAATTCAGAACCAGCATTTGTGTGTCTACCGTTGGTTTGTAACTAGCAAGTATCTCTGCCTGTAATGATATTATCATGTTAACAAGATCTATACTTGGGACTTTTAGTAAAAAATTTAACTTATTTGGATGAAACTGCTTAATTTTATTTTATAATAATGAAGTGTTCAGTAACATTCATTTCAACTAATTAATCAAGTCAAAAGCTACGTGTTGAGGTTATCTTATGGGGGTTTTCCAAAAATATGAGTAGAGTTATACTTAAGGATAAATTTATAATTATATAGTCATGGTATGCACCATCACAATCATTAAGGAGGCTGTTAGATCCTGCAGAATAATCTAACAGAACAACACTTGATTCAAGAACGTAAAAGGCAACTCTTATTCTCTTTAGGCAACAATGGCCGAATGGCCTAAGGCAACAGTTTGCGTACACTTTACAATTCAATTCAGCATGCCTATTACAATCTCAAATACTACTATTTATAGTAGGGTGTTCTAGCTACCGGTAGTTATTAGTATTATAACAAACTAACTAATAACCAACCCTCCTCCTTCTAGAATAGACCTTACTAAAAAAACTTATTTAGTAAAGTCTCTATCAAATCTCCCCTCCTAAACATCCACCTTGCCCTCAAGGTGGGCGATAGGTAGCAACCAAAATCTCCTTTTTCTTCTTCATCCTAGCGCTCCTGCCTTCCCAATATTTCACAAATTTCTGAAAGAGACACTTCATTACTCGGTCTTGCCAATTCACAGACGTTTCCCGAACATCCCTGCTATTATGAGGCAACATAGGAACTGAGCCACCGCTTGTGCATGAAGATACAAAGTCAGCTCCTTCCTTGGTCTGGATATTAAGATCAATAGTCTCTTGTTCCATGTTCTGTCCCTGTTTATCTTTATAACACAGTAAATACCCTTCCACAGTTGGTTGCAGAATCTGTGTACTGATTGTGATAGAATCATCTTTTTCATTTAGGGTTTTAGCCCCTCTAATTGAACAATTCTGACTCTCCTGCTTCCATATGAGGATCTGTTTTTGGAAATTGATTGCCATGTCTCCCAATGGCATTAACCACTCCAATCCCAAAATCATATCATTCTCTCCCAGCTCTAAGGTGTAGAAAGTTTGATTGATTTCATTACCCTGCACCATCAGCTTTAATCCCATACATCTGCCTTGGTTGTATATGAATTCCCCATTACCTATTTGTACCCTATATCCTTTGATTGGATTGAAAGGAATACCCCACTTGTCCACTAATCTTTGAGATATAAAGTTGTGGGTAGCCCCACTGTCAATGAGGATATTGTCCCTCTTATCTTCTGCAGCCCACTTCAAATTCCCCACCATCTTAAAAGTTCTTCCAGAATCTATACCTTCCTTGCTAATTCCAGACAATTGCATTGATTTTAGTTCAGGATGAGGTCCCTCTTCTTCTTCAGAACTGCTGCAATCCACTTCAGTGTCGGCCTCTTCTTCAGAGTGTTCAACCAGAACCATTTTGAAATTCCTCATCCTGCATTCATGCCCCCTATTCCAGTTCTCCCCACATTTGAAACATAATCCTTTCTTACTCCTTTCCATCAATTCTTGTTGGGATAATCTGGGGCCTATTTTTCCTGAACTTGAACCTCCACCAGTCTTCACATTCTTATTGTCATTACTATCCTTTCCATCAGAATGTGTAAACATTGGATTATTGCTACTTCTCATCCCTTCTTCCCATTTCTGATAACTGTTTCCTTTAGGTGCAGTGTTCTTCCATGGTCTTTTTCCTTCTTCTTTATTCCTTCTTAACAGGATTTCTTCATTCTTGTCTTCAATCAGCTGTGCAATATCCATAATTTTGCCCAGATCTTTGGTTTTATACAGCTTAAGTTCAGCCCTGATATCTTTCTTTAATCCATTTAAGAAAATAGCCCTCATTACCTTCCTATCCAGTCCTTCTTGACAAGATATAGCTGTTTCAAACTGTACTCGGTACTCTTGTACAGAGTTCTTGTGTTTCAACTTCAGTAGAGGACCCAATGGATTCTGAATTAACTCTGGCTGAAAACGACGAAGCAGTGCCTTCTTCAACTGCTCCCAAGTCCTTACTCTTGCTTGTTTCTCCCACCATTGAATCCATCCTAGAGCTTTGCCTTCCATAGCTACTACTGCCACTTCTATCTTCTCCTCCTCTTGTGTATTGTTGAGTCGGAAATACCTATCGATTCTGACAAGCCAACCAAAAGCGTCTTCACCGTTGAACAAAGGTAGGTCAACTTTCCTGTGCATCGGTTGGTGATGGTGACGTCGATGTGGTTGAGCGAACTCCAAATGACCTTCCGATCCTTCGGAACTGTCAGGCGATCGCAGGGAGTGATGCTGCGATGAACGATGCGATGATCGATGCGATGTATGGTGCGATGAAGTTGATGCGTGCGATCTACTCCGCGATCGACTTTTGTCTCTCGCGTCCAGCTTCACTAGAATCGTAGCCAACAACTCCTTCGTTTCTTGACGGTCTTTCTCCAATTCTTCTATTCTCGCTTCCATTTTTCCTCGCGTCCAAACCATTAACAAGATCAACCTTCTCTGATACCAATGTTAGATCCTGCAGAATAATCTAACAGAACAACACTTGATTCAAGAACGTAAAAGGCAACTCTTATTCTCTTTAGGCAACAATGGCCGAATGGCCTAAGGCAACAGTTTGCGTACACTTTACAATTCAATTCAGCATGCCTATTACAATCTCAAATACTACTATTTATAGTAGGGTGTTCTAGCTACCGGTAGTTATTAGTATTATAACAAACTAACTAATAACCAACCCTCCTCCTTCTAGAATAGACCTTACTAAAAAAACTTATTTAGTAAAGTCTCTATCAGAGGCCGTGTTTTTGTCAAGGCTTATTTATGAAAGTTAGAAGTTGCAAAATAGATGAAAAGTTTGTAGGTAGTAGCTGAAAGTTGAAGGCTTTAATGGGTATTAGAAATCGAAGGCTCTAATGGGTGCTAGAAGCCTAGAAGTTGAAGGCTCTAATCGGTAGCTGATTTGTGTCAAGGCATTCTCTACTTCCTCCATCCCAAAATAAGTTTCCTAATATGATTTGTCAAACTAATTAAAATAAGTGAAACTGTAAATGGAAAGAAAAAATCAACCACAGAACTTTTTCTTTCTCTAAAATGAACCTTATTTGGGGCTTAAAAGTAAGGAAGACAGAGGGCAGCAGTGTCTGGACGAGCAAGAGATGATGCCGAAGCAAATTCACGAGATCAAAGATTTCCTTCTTACTGCAAGAAGGAAGACGCAAGATCAGTTAAGATCAAGAGAGGAAAGGATGTGGTCAAATTCAAGGTTTGCTGCTCCAAGTATCTTTACACCCTCTGTGAGTTTGATTCCGAGAAAGCTGACAAATTGAAGCAATCTCCCTCCAGATTTGGGTGTGCAAGACCTTTGAAGGACTTCTGAAGTGCTATATTACCCTTTAAGGACTCTCTCTTTTGTGCTATTTAAATTTTGTTATGCGTTGTGCTAGATGGATGTTGAGTTATTATGGCATTTATCTTTCCTATAATTTGTACTATTGTTTTTGGGCGTGTTAACTTATGAGTAAACTCCCCAGTCTTGGCAATCAATATAGAGACTTGGTCAGTGCAAAAAAGCGGAAGACAAAATCCCTTTTTTGGGACCAAGATTATTGATTGATATAGAATGTGCTATTTTTCTAAAAGAGCAAGGTCATAAGTGAAAACAAACAAAAAAACAGGAACTTCTTTCTGAAATGCTATAGGACTCCAATAGGAAATTGCTTTACAACTAAGAGCTCATTTTAAGCTCTAATTCCATTCAACAAATAGGACCAATAGCTTATTTAGAGCTTCAATGCTCTACTAAACATGCGCATAGTGGCAAAATGCACAATTTTCACTATTTTAGTTACTCCACATTACTTGTGGCTGTTGTGGGTAAACTGTAAACATTTCAACATCCACTGATCCACTCATACAATTTAATTCTACTCTGTGTGTCTGTGAGAGAGAGAGAGAGAGAGAGGCTGACCTCCATGGGAGAATGAACGTGAGATTTGTGGGTTCCATTTAGCAACTTGGCACGTTGATCATATGAGTTAGCTAGTATTGAAACCATTCTACGCAAAAGATTCCTTCTAAAGAGAAAAATTGCAGAAACTCCTTTCTTCTTGAAGTATTCCACTATATCTTCTTGATGCTGCAGCAGACCCTGAAATGAAAACCAAATGGTTCACTGAATATTTGCTAATTTAGATTGTGCCAAATTATAATATATTTTTCGAACCTACATAAATACATAATATATTTTTCCCATGCATAATTTCATGACGTAAAACCATCCATACAAGCTGCATAATAATTTCTTCCATTATTTTAAAGAACAGAGAGAGAAGGGGGGCCTTGGCACATCGGTTACGGTGTTGGTGTGTGGCCGAGAGGTCACGGATTCAAGTCTTGAGAGCAGTCTCTTGTCAAAATGACAAGTAAAGGCTTGTTCCTTTTACACACTTGTGATGGGAACCTTCCCAGACCCTTGCCTTGAAGGGACACCAATGTGCACCGGGCTGCCCCGTAGAAAAAAGGGAGAGAGGAAATACAATTAAAAACAGAGAGAAAGCCACTACCTGGTTAAGCATCCATTTCAGCCCCACTGCAGCTGTGCATTCATTCTTGGAAGCACTAGTTAGCCAGTCAAGATTATATATCTTATCTAAAGTATCCACGATAGTGGATATGTTGCTTCTCCTTACTTTCACAGAAAAAATTTCTCCATTGGAGCTTATGTTTGTATGATTGTTCAGCAAAGTCTCAAACCAGCCACTGCCGGACCTCTGTGTTGACAAAATTGCAAAATATCGTACTGGACTGCATGCACACTCACCCCTACTTATCCGGCATAAAGATGCAGAAATCAGTAATTTCATTACATAATAGAAACTGAGAGTGCTCTTTGGTAGATCAAAATTTTGATTGAGCTATCTAAAATAAATTTAAAATGTCTTTTTAGTAAAATAAATAAATAATATCTAAAGGGTGAAGGTAGAAGTGATAGTTAGAATATGTTCATTTGGATTGGAATTTTCTGGCATGGACTGTTCTATATTGGTATGTTCAAGTTTGATATCATTCAAACATGTTATAGTCTGATTTGGACTACAATATGTCCAACTAGACAAGCTCTTATGCTTCATTTCAACCATTTCAAACTAAACATAAAAACGTGTGCAATGCTTTATTATTTCAACTATCGTCTGATTAGCAATCACATAAATGATAGAGTTGGGTAGAAAATCAGAAATTTTAGACTCATCTTTGTAAGCCAATAGAGAATTAACCTAACAGTTTAAAAAATAAAAATGTAATAATAGAAATATAGAATTGAAGGAATCTTACCGGCTAAAAGTCTTAGGCTTGGGAAAGTGCACATATGGTTTCTCTGAAGGTTCAACATTAGGTGGGTCGCATGGCTTCTCCACGACAGCAATATTTAGTAAATGTGTATTCTTGCGACTGCCTGTTTGCTTCAGGCAGACTGAACATATATAGACCCCACAAACCATTACAAAAATCAAGACCAGCATTCTCAATAGCAGTGGAGATTTCTTTGAAGGTTTGATTAGTAACCCATCCTGGAAAATAATAAACACAACTGTTTTGATTTTCTTTTCACCACAACGAAGTCATTCGTGTAAAATAAACGCAAAAGAATTAAGTAAAGAAATGACAGTACAAGGTAGTAGTACCGCAATACACTTAAGCTAAATAAGAACCCCAAATACACTTGGGGTCCGTTTTGTAAGGGATATTTTGCTCAAAATGGCTGAATCTGCTATATATTCTCAAATTAAAATCATTTCTTTAGATGCTAACAACTACGGAGTAACTAAATAAGTAGGTCAAAAGTTGTTTATTCCGCTAATAAGCAGAATAAACCAACTATCTCTACCAAACGGATCCTTAACTTCAATATAAAAAAAACAAATACTTTAGCATTGCATTCAAGCCAAGCTAATGAAGATCAAGAAAAATGCGCAATGAGCTTACTCTTAGGTGACTTATTGTTCTTTATTGTGATAAAATATATTTAATATCCCTACAAATACATCTAATCCAGTCATAATTTAAGTGAAGCGCAAAACAATGCAAACAAAGTTTAGATAATAAATATAATGCATATTATTGGTGACTTACTGAAGAGATTCTGGATTCGATGCATGACAAACACTCTCATAGAAAAAGATTGAAATTAAGGCAAATATTTTTATATCATAGAATATATTCCTAAGATACCCAGATCGGGGAAACAGATGTTTAATCCAAAAAGATAGTAAAGGAATCATCTTTTGCACTCAGATAGTATAAAAGAAATCAAAGATACGAGGAACACATAAAAGCAAGTACCTTTGAGAAGAAACATAGATCGTCAGCCATTGTTGGCGCTTGCTAGGAACCAATAATATTAAAGAAAACGATATTGGCAGCTCAGATTTTGTCTAACTCATCCCCCCTTTTCTTTCTAGTAGCTTTATGCATCATCCTAATCTTCTTCCAAAGCTCCACCCTCCTTCAGGAGGCATGCATACAAGTGTGGTGTATGTATAGGTAGAGAGAGAAAAAGGAAAAGTGCTGAGCTTATTTTCTCGAAAGAAAGCAAATTTTTAGATGATGATGGTATCTAATGGCTTCTCCGACCGTTGCCACGCTGTTCACTTCCCTTATGATGATGTCCCTTCAGATTTACGCATTTCTCTCTCTGCAGACCGAGTTTAGTTGGATCAAGATCCATGTGAGGCAGCAGGTCGACGAGAAGCCGAGGCATACGACGCCGTTTGCTAGTGTTGATTTCGTCAAGGACTACTTCCGCTCTCTACTCCGTAATTTGTACCAGGAAAAAGGTCTCTGCTTTTGAGTTTTGCACCCAAGAGAGAGAAAGAAAGCAAGAAATTGGTAACCTAATTTCTAAATTCCTACTAGTATTTAGATTTAGGAATAATTCCACATAACTGAGTCCTAGATTCGTAGGACTACAATTAACCATAATTTAGAGAATGAAATTATGTAATAACCTAATTTTTTTATACAAGTTTTCTTTAACTCTATAGGCAAATAATCAAAATAAGTGGAGTAGAAGTCATGAAACATCTACCATAATCTTATTTTAAAAAATGAAAGAGAACAAAGAGCCGAGAGAGGGGACAAAAATCTAAAGCAGTGTTTGCGGTTGCTTAAAAAACGTTTTTCAGCTTTTAGCTTAAAAAAAGCTAAAAAGAGTGTTTTCAAATGACAGATTCTGCTTAAATTAATCACTTAAAAGCTAAAAGCTAGAAGCAGGTGGAAGGGTGCTTTAAACTGCTTTTCACTTTTTCTATTACACAAAAAGTACTTATTTTACCAAACATTACCAACTTTTGCTTTTTCAGAATCACTTTTTTCTCAAACACTACCAACTTTTACTATTAATCACTTTTACTATTAATCACTTTTCCCAAAATCACTTTAAAAAATCACTTTTTTAAAGTTGAAGCAATTGCAAACACTCCCTAAACCTCTTGATGTACGAGTTTGGTAGCAAAGGCCGGTGCACCTACGCTGGATTCCAACTTTTGTTGATATCGGAGCCGGGCCTCTTGATGTACGAGTTTGGTACAAAGTTTGTCAAACGTAAGGGCTTCAGGAAACAGAGTAAGTGGTCCGACAAGTAGAGCTGTCAAAACGGGCCAGAACCCGCGGGCCAACCTGTTTAAATCCATTTACAGACGGGTTAGGGTTACAATATTTGGGCCCATTTATTTCGCAGGTTAAGTGGGCTAACCCTAGCGGGTTGCGGGTTTTAGCGGGCCAGCCCATAGGGGTTGCGGGTCTTGATTTCTTGAATATTCAATTACTGGCCATTCATATTCTGTGTATCGAAGACATGAAGAGTCTCTCCTCTAGCCACTATTTTCGAATCATTTGTCTAGAAGCCATGGATACCCCAACGGCCAAGAATCACAAAGTAACTCCTTATATTACTTGTCTTCTACCCTTCAATTTTTACTTTCTACTTCTCTCGTTCCTTTATGGCTTTATCTCCTCTCCTCAACATCTGTCCATTTCAATTTTTAAGTGTTACGTAGTACTCCGTATCTATTTTACTCTATTTGATTATTGATCTCTTCTATACGGATTTATGCCTAGAAGTTCAACTATCCATTCCCACTTTAAGGGCTCGTTTGTTACGGTGTAAAGTAAACACTTTGCGTGTAAAGTGTAGGGATGTAAACATTTTACACCGTTTTTTAAGTATTTAATATAAACTGTATGACACTTTTTTAAATACATTTTACATTATACCATGTAAACTATTTTACGTGAGGTAGTAAACTACTCTACATCCATTTAACCGAGTTAGAATAAATATACGGAACCCTACTTTGCGATTGAGATCAGACGACCGGCTATACTTTGGAGATTCCACTGTGGCGGCAAAGCGAAAAATTGGGGACGAAGAGGCTCATGTTTATTAGTTACGTACTTTGCACATACATATTTATATATATGTTCGAATATTGGATCTTTAGCTTTAAATTATATTCTCAGATTTGATGTACACATGGAATTAAAAGAGAAACTATAGCCGATGTTTAGTTTTGAGAACTGCTTTTGATCAATTATATATACGTAGTACACCGTATTAGTTTTTTTAGTGATTAAAATTTTTCCGGAAGCTTCAAAGTTACTCCGTACAATTTTGTAGTGAATAGTCCTCCAAATTAAAAATAGATTATGTATAATTAAAAACAAAATTACACACATGACCAAACGATGTATTTCTATTTTATGTATAAACTACTTTACGGCCCTAGACTTTACATGCAATCACTTTACATGTAAAGTTTTAATGTGTAAACTACCAAACGTCCCCTAATATTGTACTATAACATCTACAAAAAAATATTACTCCGTATTAATTTTCGTTTATTATTTTAATTTGGTTAATTTAATATGTATAGATGATGTGATCATTGGAGAAGGTTAGTCCACAACTTGCTGGAAACTCACATGGAGATGGACCAATTATTAGCACCTGGAGATGGACTAGTTGCTTATGAAACAAGATTGCAAGAGTGATGTGATTTTATAATTTTTATTGTAATGCAAACTTATGATATTTTGTTTGAAGTGAATTTAGACAATTTGGATGTGTTTTTGCATTTTGATTTGGACAGTTGTTTTTGGACTTATTATGAAGAAGTTATATATTTAAACATATTAGATTTTATTGGAATTAGTTTAGATAGTTTTAAATTCTTAATACAAATTTGGCCCGTTGTTTGGCCCGTGAAACCCACTTATTAGGTTGGCCCGTTAAACTCACTAAATGGGCTGCCCCATGGGCTGACCCGTTTAACCCACGGATTAGGTGGGTTGGGTTAGGGTTGTAGAAATCCCGACCCGTCATTAAACGGGTTGGCCCGACCCAACCCACTTAAAACATAACCCGTCACGGGTTGGGTCGGGTCGGACCGAGTTGGCCCATTTGACAACTCTACCAACAAGCGACTAATAACCCGGACCCAATCCCATAAGAGCATAATGCAAAAGATCATGATTAGCAACAGAGGAATTAATGGATGCTAAATTTTCAGCAATGGTCCAGATTTTGCCCAAGTACTGATCCATGGTTTGGTTAGGCTTTTTCTTGGTATGAGTTAACATTTGTTTGAGTTCCACTACTGAAATAATGTTACATAAATATTTGAACTAATATAATATTTAGTTTCGATTAAGACGAGCTTCAGGAAGGAACTGACCAAGAAATTAAAACCCCAGAGAATGAGAATGAAGAAGAGGAGTGGTTCTTGGAAATTAAAACTGGGACATCGTTTTCAACCTCTAGAGAACTTAATGCTGCTTGTTTCATGCAACTCCCTAATGATATTAAAATGAGTATCTTTAAGTTTCTTCCTGGTATTGACGAAGGAAAGATGGCCTATGTTTGCCGTGAGTTAAGAGACTTGATCTCCGATGAAATAAAGTGGCAATTCAAGGGAAGTTTATCACTCAGTTAGAAATCCTGCTCAATTTGGATGACCTTGTTCTCATCCTAGAGGCCGGTTTTAATTGGAAGAAACAGTTTATTCTAGCTTTGAAGACTCTAAAGGCTGGGAGGTTGAGGAAGAGAAATTGGTTTAGAGCTAGGCTCGAGAATCGGAAGTCCGGTTGTGATGTCCCAACTACTTGAATGTTCTCCACCGGTAAAAGCAGCATTTGAGAACACCCGTTACTTTGATAATAATGTTCATATTGCTATCGGAGCATTTCATGCTTTAGCTCGCTTTGTTTTTGCTATCATCTTGCTCTGTATATTATACGAAGTGTGTTGTTATATTTGCATGCATTTTGGTTTTGTATAAAAATCTTTGTTTTCATTTCAAGCCTTATTGTGGCAGTGGGAACAATGTTTTGATATTTCAGCAGTGGATGATTTGTGCGTTTTTCTTGGAATTTTGGAAAATGGTGAAATGTGCCTCATTTTTTTTAATTAATTATATTTATTTATTTATTTATTTATTTATTTTTAAAAGAAAATAAAACAATACAGGGAAAGCAAAGACTAAAACTACACCCAAGGAAATTCTCTTGACTGAGACCTAGTGGTCATACTGTGGCGCCTTTTATTCTTGTGAGATTTCCTATAGATTTTTAGCTGCGTGTTTAAGTTTTCCGTTGGCAAGTAATTTTTTGAGGTAACAAACTTTGATTTCCTGCAGATCGCTCTGTTGAATTTTGATTTCGTAATTTCTCCTGGAGTTGAGATAGGGGGACGACGATCGCTTTCGGTAGCATGTCCCAGAAAGTCGTCCATGAAAGAAGAAGAATCTGATTGATAAAAGTTGTCTGATGCATTTGAGTAAGCCTGAACAAGCATGTGCCTCATACTTAATCCAAAAAGTCATGCAAGTCTTGGTAGTCAATAAACACTCGATCAAAAACTCAAACTTTAAAAAAATGTTCAAACTAATTTTTATCAAGTTTAAAACTGATTAGCCAATAAGGGTACACACGTGACCCCCACATGGATTTTTTTTTTCATTTTCCTTTCTTTATTTCGTTCTCACCTCCCCAACTAGTCACGATCTGCCTTAATTATGTTGAGTCTAGTGAGGCATGGGCCCAAATAATGTTAAAAAATAAGGGCCCAAATTTTCAAATACCTTCGTATATATACATGTATGTATGTGCATGTATGTATACAAATTCTTTTTCAATTGTTGAATTATTGGTTTGTAAATATTTAAGGGGATGGCTTGTTAATTAGTTAATTGACATCATGATGTTGTTTTCTTCTTCTATTTCAATTTAGAGTTTTAATTATTGAGTTTTTGTTGGAACTTGCTTTACCAAAATGTTGTCGTCAATTTACAATTGGTGGGGTTCAATTCCAACTTAAAGAGCTAATTAATGAGTCAGTATTTCGGGCAGCTTTATTATTCCCGGGGTGGATCCCCTTTTAGGGTATTATTACAAGGACTATTTATAGGCATAAGGCTATAGTTATATTAGAAGTCATAACTGAAACATTAAATAGTCTTTAAGTCATGATTAGACTTCTAGTAGCATCTCACTCAACAATTCAGCAATCAATGTCTCATTTATGCCCGCGTTCCTTCAGGTGTTTCCCGTTACTGCCAAATAAATCGTCTAGTCATGGACTGACTTGTGATAAGTCCGTATTTAGACACGCATTTGATGCGTGTTCAGGTAGGATTTTGATGATTTTCCTGGCTTTAAGGCGTTGCAAGTCTCAATTTTGGCTCAAGTTGTGTTTAACAGGCGTTGGATCGAGTTTCATAGCATTTGGAGTTGATTTGAAGAAGTTAGAGTCCGGCAATCGGCGCTTGAGAGGCATTCGGGAAGGGTTTGAAGGCATTTGAGAGAGATTTGGAAGAATTGGAGGCCACCGGGAGATTCACGACGAAATTCTGGTGAAGAAAGAGCACTTGGATCGACGTCGTAGGCATTCGGGAGCATTCGGAATGAGAAACGAAGAAAAAACAATGAAGAAGTGGCTAGGCACGGCCGTGCCTAGGCCAGGCACGATCGTGCCTGCCATCTGAATCAACGTGAAGCTACTGGCAGCCAGACACGATCGTGTCCGGCGCAGGCACGATCGTGTCTGCATATTTTTTGCGCGTTTCTTCCGCAGGCACGGTCGCAGGCACGATCGTGCCTGGCACCGTGCCTGGCCGCGATTTGTCCTAAATCGACCCAAATTTCCTGTTTTCTATAAATAAGGCCTCCATAACCCCGATTTGGGGTTACGAACTTTGGAGAGAGGCCTAGGGACGAGTTTATCTGCGTTTTTTACGTTGTTTAATCCAAGAACCTGGGATTCTTTGTAAGTTCAATTCTTTAATTAATGACAATTATTTCTATTCATCCCAATTCTGTTGATTCTTCAATTATGAATTGTGAGTAGTTTAATTAGGGATTTGGGGTTGATGAAGGGGTTAATCATGATTGATGGCTAGATTCTTGTCGGTTTAATTGCATGAATGCCGTTTAATTTGTGTTTGAATAATTTAATTGATATCTCTTGTAACCTAGACTGCAGCTAGAATTACAATTGCATGTAGAATGAATTAAGAGAGATCTAATTTGTTCTAGGACACATTCACACACACTTAATCGTTCGCTAAGAGATTAGTAGCGATTAAGGGGCCGTAAGCTCGCTCGTCTTGGCAATAATTTAGGATCTTGTCGCATGAGAGATCAGCCTGGTCCCCTAAATTATTGTACTCTACGCCGCGAGAGCGGTAAGAACTTAGTAATGATTAGCTAGGCTCAATTAAATTAAATTCATGTGATTAGGCCTGTTCTGCCAGAAATCTGGTTGACCCCGGAATCAATTCCTGTTCCCTTCGTCGTTAATTAAGGAAAACCAAATCTTTTTATTCGTTCATTAGCATTAGTTTTAGTTTAAAATTGATTTGTAGAAGCAAGACATAATTGCCTCTAAAAATAGGAGAATAACCTCTAATGCTATTTGGGGGCAATTTTGTGGTAGCCAACACATAGTCCATCACAAAATGTTGATTGCTTCTAAAAACACTCTTTAGAAGCAAAAAGAAGTTATGTCTCTAAAAAGATATGTTTAGAAGCAACCATAATCTTTTGTCTTAAAATGTCATTAGAGGTAACGATGTTATATTATCTGAGAATGTTATTATAGGCAATCATTTGAAATGACTCAAGATGTTATCATATACAACTTTAAATGTTGCCATGAAAACTTTTTAGAGGCAACCATAAGTTGATGTTGAACCAAACTATCACTGCAATAAAATTGATTTATAGAGGCGCCATAAATTTGCCTCTAAAGAGTAAAAATATAAATTAGCCTTTAATGCTTTTTGGGGGCAATTTAGTGGTTGATGATAAATACTCCATCCCAAAATGATGGTTGCCTCTAAAAATACTCTTTAGAGGCAAAAAGGTATGCTTCCAAAAAGGTATATTACTATATTTAGAGGCAACCATAGACACTGTCTCAAAATGCCATTAGAGGCAATAGTTTTATGTTGCTTCAAAAAGTTATTGGAGACAACCATTTTCAATGACTCGAGATGTTATTAGAGGCACTACTATATACTGCTTTTAAAACTTTCTAGATTCAACTTTAAATGTTGCCTTGAATGCTTTTATATTGTGCCTTGAATGCTTTTTAGAAACAACCACATATAAAATTGATATTTAGTGACAAGTATTTCATTATCCTTTATAATGTAATTATAGGTGCTATAGTTCATCTAAAATTTCAACATATAGTAAAATTTAATTAATATGAAAAATCGCAAAGTAATGCTTCCTTTAAGGTATAAAACATAATACCAAAATAAACTTTCATTTATTAACAAAATGAAGTAATTATTTAAATCCTTTGTACGGCTGACCTGACATGTCCATAAATAAACTCAAACAAAACTTAGTAGAATTACTAAGACACTATTATATGCTGATATGAGATTAATCAAAATGCTTCACGAAAACAAATTAATTCAGAGATATCATTCTTCTTCTTCTTCTTCATCCTCATCCTCCTCCTCATCATCATCATCTTGCTCTTTGTTATGCTCCGTGTTACCAAACGGGCACTAAGGGAGTGTTTGGATCTGATTCTTAAAACTGTTTTTGCTTCTTCAGGGAGCACAATCAGAAGTTGGAGTGTCTGGATAAAAGTGCAGAAATGATTCTGGTGTTCTAATTTATTCCTAGAATCAATTTTTTAAAAGTTAAGAGAGAGCAGCTTCTGAAAACTGATTCTGCTCTACTTTGAAAAAGAAACAGAAGTAGAATCAAATTGAAAGACCCCTAAAACTCAAATGTACATATGAATATTATACCCCTAATTTTTGTAGTCATTCCTGTTTTTCCCATAAATTATTAACAATTTAATTTCAGCCCCGTTTGACAACAAATGGATTTATTTGAGCCTCACATGCTTCCTTATATATCTAGGCAGTTCTTCAAGCTTCGCTGGCAATCTCCACAAAAAATGGGAGATTCAGATTCACAACAGAATATAGAGATACTCCATGACTTTCCCCCCTTACTGAGAGTGTACAAGGATGGCCGAATCGAAAGGTTGCAAGACGAAAATGTCGTCCCGCCCGACCCGGATGCCGAAACCGGCGTCAGATGCAAAGACGTCCAGATTTCCCCTGATCCCACAGTTTCCGCCAGGATTTTCCTCCCCAAAACCGCCAGACCGGGCCGGAAACTTCCACTGTTGGTGTACTTCCACGGCGGAGCATTCGTCTCCGAATCTGCTTTCTCTCCGACTTACAAGAAGCCTCTCTGCTTAATCTCGGCGGAAGCAAACGCCGTGATCGTCTCCGTCGATTACAGATTGGCCCCGGAGCATGTGATTCCGGCGTGTTTCGACGACTCGTGGCTGGCCCTAAAGTGGGTGGCGTCCCATTCCTCCTCCGGCGGCAGCGGCGGTGAGGAGTGGCTGAAGGAGTACGCAGATCTCAACCGCGCATTCTTCGGCGGCGACAGCGCGGGCGGAACCATAGCGCATAGAATGGCGATTCGGGTCGGGTTGGAAGGATTAGACGGAATCAAGCTGGACGGCGTCTTCCTCAACTGCCCGTTTTTCTGGGGAAAAGATCCGGTAGGCGAGGAAGGGGAAGTTGCGGCGGCAATGGGGTCGCTCATCCATATACTTTGGGAGTTGGTGAACCCGAAGTCCTCTGGGCTAGACGACCCGCTTTTGAACCCGACCGCAGACCCGGAATTCAGTTCCCTGGGGTGCAAGAAGGTGCTGGTGTACGTTGCAGAGAAGGACAATCTGCGGCGGAGAGGGCGGCACTACACGGAGGTGCTGGTTAATAGTGGGTGGCCTGGGACGGCAGAGGTGGTGGAAGTTAAAGGCGAGGACCACGGTTTCAGCGTGTCTTCCCCCACATCTGATAATTCCATGGCGATGGTGAAAAAGTTGGCTACTTTCATCAACAAATAATTACCAACTTATCAACCACTTCCAAATTGCAGGTTTAATAAAAAATGAGAAATTAAATAAAAGATACTCCTTCCGTTCCATAAAATGATAAAAATAGTTCACGCATTGACTTGGATCGGAATTTAAGAAAGTGGAATAAAATGAAAATGTATGGTTGTGGTTGTGTAAAAAAGGTAAATAAATGTGAGCCACACAAAATTTTCTAAAAGAGAAAATGGAAACTATTTTTTGGGACGACCCAAAAAGGAAACTGAGAACTATTTTGCGGGACGGAAGGAGTAACATTTACTAATAAAAAGCAGTGGACAAAAATTTTCATTATTATAATTGTGTTCAAAATTTAGAACATAGTAATTTATATGAAATTCATAGTAGCTTACATTTAATTATTATGATGTAAGTTTGAATACAATTATAGTCATTAATAGTAACTAAGTAAGTACGGAGTAATATTTTCATCCGCCCATTCTAAAGAGTAATACTAGTATTAATCGAACTTTTTCGTTTAATACTCCCTCCGTTCTTTAATACTACGTATTAGTCTTCCTAGGCTTTGGCACGGGTTTTAAGAGGAAAATAGTAGGGGTAGTGTAAAAGGTATAATGAGTAGTGGGTAAATGAAAAAGTAGGAAAGAGAAAAAGGTAATGGTAATAAAAGTTGGGGTATAAAGGTATATTTAGAGTAAAAACTTTCCTTAAATGGAAAGGAGGACAGATAAAAAAACGTCCCAAAAAGGAAAGAAGGACTAATAAAAAAGAACGGAGGTAGTAATATTGTATGAAGTACGGAGTATGTGTTTCCTAATATAGTACTACCTATACGAACAATTATACTCACCTTGCTTGTACTCGCCTTATACTCATCATGTTTGTAAAGAATTTTTTTTGTAAACGAGTCCAGTTTATAGACAAAATATGTCTTATTTGTCTGTGCGAAATTTGCAAAAACATATTTTACATGTGTACGAGATTCACAAACAAAACAAAGTCTTGGACAAACATGATAGTATAAAAATGGATATAAGGGTGGGTACAAACAACATTTTTGATAATTATATAATCCAAAAACCTAATAATTTCTTAAATTCGATTCATTACAAATTTTCATAATATGTTTTTAATTTTTTTTTCTAATAGAGGGTTACATATATGACGGTCAAAATTTTGTACTTGCAAGCATGAAAATGAGAATACCGTAACTAAAAAGAATAGATAAAACGTGTATTTATATATTGAAAAAATTCATGTTTTTTTTAGTAATATTGGATACGGAGTATATTTTTCTCTTTAATACTCCATAACTAGTGTAACACCCGAGGCATGCCTCGGTAGTATTACACTTTGATAGGTATTGAAATGATAAATATCAACAGAGGTTTGGAGTTATTTATGGAATCAAGTGATATTGATAATTTACTCTTGTTATAAAAAAGAATATATGTGCATATGATTAATTACAATTTTGAAAATAAATGAAAATATTAATGTGTGAAGTACTATTCACGGGTGATAAATAAAATTAGCCACTTTGAAAGACTATTTTATGCACAACATTTATTGTTGTACCTTTCTTCCCCCTCTTAAAAAAATCAACTTATTGCTACTTTTCACTCAAAAAGCTGCAACCTATAATGGGTCATGTGTGCATAACCATTTTTGCCAACTAATTTTTGCTCAAATATTTTTAATATGATGATGATGATGATATTAAAAGTACAAATTTAAAATTGAATTAATAATGACCAATAAAATTATAAAAGTATATGGGCCCTGGATGAAGAAGAAAGTAGTAATGATTGCCATTATAAAGCAAGCAATGCAGTAAAAATTTCTGATTAAATTTCTGACTAAAGAGTGTAAATTAAAATTGAAATAAAAGTATAGGTTGCATTAATGGTACATTTTCATCGTGTCTTATAAAAGTAGCTCATAAGAAATGATAAATTGATTTGAGTTGTGTTGATGAACATATCCCAATAAGTTATCATCTTGCACATAATGATCAACTATGTATTCTAATTGAGATGATCTCAACGACTCAACCCAATCATATTGCAATTTGAGAGATGGAAGACAAACAGGGAAGAATCTATGTACGGGCTATGGTAGGCTGAAGACCGAAGCATCTTAGAAAATTTTCAATTTTTTTGGTGTAAACTTTTTCATTTTTCACATTTAGCCCACCCCTCTAATATTTAAGCCTAGTATAATTCTTATTCAGCCCAGTGCATCTAAGATTCCTGGATCCGCCCCTGAAGACAAACACCATTATGTCATACGGAGTATTTGGTTGGGAAATTCTTGGATCTTTATGACCTGTTTTTAATGTGATAGTAAAGATGAGAATTGGCCCCAATTGATAGGATGCGTTAAATTTGATTGAAATTTCCGGGTATGATCTGGTATATTAGATGTGTTTTATGTGTAGTTTACAATTGTCAAAGTCGGATCTGGTCTGGTTTGATATGTTCTAAGACTAAAATCACTCTAACTAAAAATATTCTACTATTTCAAGTGATGATGACATTCAATCTTTTTTCTCAAAAATCTGCATTCAATCTTTGATTTTATTATTACTCTTAAAATGTTTTACGAAGTGCAAAGATGTTGGGCACTCATTTGAGTTATATCGGAGAGTTCATTATTTCTAATTGTAAATTGATTGTTTATTTTGATATATAGGAGCCCGTTTGGTGATCCTATTTTTGGTCTTATCAGCTAATTTTGAAACTAAACACGTAACTATTTATTTCGCGCTAAGTTGTGTAGTCTAAATAAGTAATTAAGGTTGGAGTTACATTATCACAGGATTTACTGAAGTTACTATAGAGAATCATTTTAGCTATTTATATTTATATATATATATATACACTTTATTTTATCAATAAAAGATACTTTAAATATAATTTTTCATAATTTAACAAAATCAGTAAATCGAACTACTTCAGTTTGAACATAAAAAATAAGAGTATTACTAAACGGAGCATAGTTTAAATATTTGTGACATTTTAAAAGAAGTCATATGGGCAATTAGATAAGGGGTTTTTCCTTAAAAATAACTAATGCAAAATTCAAGGACAAAAATATTACTTAGTAACTATTAGTGAATATAATTATGTTCAAACCTTACATTGTAGTAACTTACATGGAATTACTACGATGTAAATTTGAACCCAATTATAGTCACTAATAGTTACTAAGTAAAATTTTGTCTACCACATTTTAAAGAGTAATATTAATGTGTTTTTTCATTAGTTAAATATTATCTAGTATTAACCATCCAAAGAGTCTTATATGCTATGATGAATTATGAATTACGAATTAAATTAAATATTATAAGACGTTGCTATGTGGAATAGTACGGTCTCAAAACCAATTCCATTAAAATAGCGTAATGAATGGGTACGGATGAGTCCATCCAATTTCAATTGATTAATTTAATGAAGGAACGAATTACTTGTTATAATAAAAAAAAAGTGATGCTGAATTTCTATTAACCAATCAGGTGATGACATGTCAGCATTTTATAATTCAATTTTACTATATAAAACAATAGATAAACATGTTTTCAAAAGAAAAAGGGGACAAAAACACTCCTAAAGTTGTCAACAAAAATCTTTAAAATTCTTCAAAGGAGGGTAACTACCCCTTCTTTAACGGTGAACCCATTTAATTGAACTGGTAACCATTAAGTTTCTCCTTTCAAATTTACTAGTATCGTACCCGTGCGATGCACGGGACAATATTTTGTTGGTTTTTAGTTATGAGATATACATATAAAAATATCAAAGCAATACACATTTAATATAATAAGATTGAAATAAATATATGATATGAAGAAAATATTAATATGTTGTTAATATAAAATCATCCATTATTATGAAAAATAATCACACACCATAATAATTAATTTTTTTGCTCGCTGTAAAACTCACCGTTATATAAGTTTGAATTATTTATGTAAAAAGAATGTATAACCCATTAAAGGACACACATCACTTTTAATCACGGTCATTGTTACACGTTTATGCCAGATTGCAACGGTACAATGTTTTATGTCTATATATTTTTAGACAATTTCTATAAATCGTCACACCAAATTTTACAATAGTAATAAAAAATACTACGTAGTATTTATTTTGGGTGGGCCAGATCTTCTGATAATTATTAACTTTCATTTAATTTAGGGAAAATATCACAAATAAGCTAAAATTGAAAAAACATATCACTTTTGTCCGTCTCGGGAATTCTTTTCAAAAATAGATTAAGTGAAGATTTCCTTTCATAAATAGACCGTATCGGATTAACGGATCTTTCTTCCTGTGAAGCACTGTCGGATTGCCAAAAAAAGAGTTATGCACTCATGACTCATGTAGTTTGCCACGTTAGCAAACAAATGTCAAAAGCCTTATCTCTAAATTTATTCAACTTGAAAAATGTAAACTATAAAATTAATCTTTTTAAAATAACAATGCATTAAATCTAGATTTAATGCATTGTTATTTTTAAAATATTTTAAAAAAGATTAAAAAGATCTTAAATGCATAAATTATAAAAAATAATATAAAATGAAATATTTTAAAAAAGAAGAAATTAAAAATAATATTTTAAAAACTTAAAACTGTTTAAAAGAGTCAAAAGTTTACAAATAAAAATTCTAAAATATTCAACAAAATAAAATAAATAAAAAAATCATAAAAAGTGAAAACTGGTTCTTTTTTAACCTCTCAAAAATACAAATTTGAAAATTTGAAGATAAAAAATGCATAAAATTTGTAAAAACTAAAAACAATTGCCAAAAAAAAAGAAGAATGTGAATTCTGTTATTTGAAAACATAAAATAAAATAAAATTAATATGTACAGCTTGAAAGTATTCAGAAAATTTAAAATTATTGTAAAAAAAATACAAATAGAAAATAAGATTCGTTGAATTTTTAAAACTGCATAAAAGGCAAGTTTTAAAAAAACATGAAAACTAATTGTGAATATTATGAAAGAGTAATTTATTTTGAATCAGTATCTATAAAACGAAAAAAAATCAAATAAATATATAAAATTCGAAAACATAAAAAAACAATGTATTATCATAAAGACAGAAAATAAGATTCAAATTTTTTTATAACATCATAAAATTAAATTCTACTATAAATAGTTTGAATTATAAAAAACTAAAACTGAAAATGTGAAAAAAATAAAATAAAGAAAATGTTAAAAAGGTAAAAAAGTTTAAAAATAAAACATATAAATTCTGTAATGCAATTACTTCGTATTAAAAAAGAGTGAAACAATTTTATTATTATTATTATTATTATTATTGTTATTGTTATTGTCATCGTCATCATTTTATGGTTACTTTTTGTTGCATATTGTTTATGTGTGTTTCGTTTTGTTGATAAATTTTTTATTTTTGTTTCATATTGTTTCTTCATGTTTTTTTTTGTTCTGCAGTTTTGCTTGATATTCA